TAATTCCTAAACTAACCCAATCCATAAATTAACGCATACACAAACTTTACAATGAAGGGAAACGTCCTGACTAACCTTTTTATTTTATCTCCCTTAACCTATTTTCTCTCATCCCTATTTCTCTTGCTTAAATTCACGTGCCACCCACGTTTTACCCATTGTTGAAAAGATAGACCCTCATGTTTTAATCTTATCCTATTTATACTCCTACACTAACCAAATTTAACCTTATCCTAATTATATTCCTAAACTAACTAACCCAATCCATAAATTTAACCTATTTATACTCCTAAACTAACCAAATTTAACCTTATCTTAATTACATTCTTAAACTAACTAACCCAATCTATAAATTAACTCACACACAAACTCAGTGCCCACCTATCCCTGCGCACCTCCAAATTTTAAAAAAAAACTCAATAATCCTAATAATAATAATAAATTATTATTATTATTATTATTATTATTATTATTATTATTAGTATTAGTATTATTGTGTGTTTTTCTCGGCATCACATTCAAATGGAATGAGGAGATGGTATAAAGATATTTATGTTCATATTTCGCCTGATGGTACTTATATATCTTACTCATCCCTTTAGTTTTCTAAAATACTTGATCTTATTCTTGTCCTTGTTGTTACCCTTTTTAATTGGGAGTTTAGGGGAGTTTGTTCCTCTACCAAAATAAGTGGATCAAGTGAAGATCAAAAGTAAAAACCAAAGGAAGGGGCTGCAAACCAGTTCTCTCATTCTCACTCTCTGCATTTCTTTATGCTCTTTTGCGTACGCTGCGTTATGGACTCGGTGTTGGAAATGTAGCTTGTTTTATCTCAGAAATTTCATTTTTTTCAATAATGGTACAAAAATCATATTGAAGTATATATGAAATCTCATGTGGTTAACATGAGATAATGCCATATACATGGATTTACTTTTTAGCTTTAATAGGATGTATCACTGGAGGAAAAAACCTAGTATCACTGGAGGGAAAACTCAGTGGTGTTTGGTGATAACTTGTTAATCCTAATTGACAACTCCTATAGACCATGAATGTGAGAGTTGCAAAAAGATGGTTCTCTATAAATACAGGTTAACCCCTCAAGTAGAAAGATAAAGAAGGATAGAAAAGAGGTGGAAAAGATTCACCAAGAAGACTCTCAAGGTAGTCTGTCACCTTATGGCTTGGTCTATAGGATTTGGTATAGAACTTTAGATCCCTCGTATGATTGGTTCATAGGATTTGGTATGGAGCCTTAGGTCCCTCGTGTGATTTAAAGACAGATCCGAGTAAGTTATTTATCGTTTTTAATTTTATTTATTTATTATTATTTTCATTGGATTAACACTCGGATCATTTCATACTAATTTTTTGAAATCTCTCATTTCCAAGATGGCAGTTCTATGGAGGTTTTCAAAATAAATTTCTAATTGAAGAACCTGATATTTGTATATTCCGAATCAATAACAAATGGGATTTATGCAACCCGGTTGGTCAGAAGTTTCGATAGACTTTGAACCGAGGAGTGAGACAGCCCAACCCTCAGTTTTTGGTATGGATGGGGAGGTGTGCTAACCAACTGTAGGAAACCCAAAGAATAGGCAGAGGGTACTTTTCTATAGCAAATAGGCAGTCGCGAATTGGGGTCAGCTAAAATGATTGACGCTCGTAAATTTTGGTTTTATCATCATCGTCAAAACTTTTTTCCAACTAATTAGGGTTGGCAAAAACTTTAGATTCAGTTTTCATTAATTTGGTTAGGCCATACCTAGGCTTTTGATTACTGAGAGACCAATATTTTCTAAGTACAACCTTACTAGCGATTCCATGAATCATATGCATACATTAGTTGACATTTGTGAACTACCCAGTGAGTTCAAATTTCCATTTGCCCAACCACTTGTATCCTGAGTAAATCATCTCTGACTATAACCTACACCCATTAATGCAATGATTATGAATGCATGTTAAGGGTCAATTCACTGGTTCTACTTGATGTCTATTTCTTGTGTGCAGTTAAATAAGTGCGTCTTTCATTCAACACATGAAATATCATAATTAACGTATGTGGCTCTTTGGCAGGGGCCTTATTCCGATTCCCCTGTGTACGTATGGCTTTCGTGTAAGGCCCACTACAATGGACGGATAATTAAAAGAAGGTATTGTAGACTATGAGGTCATTTATCATTTTTATAAGATGTCACACTCTTAGTCATTAGATGTCAAATTTGATGGCCTAGAACATGTCATAAAGTTTTGAGAAACTTGTTTCTAAACTTTGAGTCTAGTCAATTATACACGTACAACCTTATTATACTAAAAGTAAATGGCCTATTTGTATTTTTTTCTTTAAAAAATGTATTAAAAAATACCGAAGGATGAATTATTTAACATCTTACTATTTCTTTTTATTAGTGTGCTTCCATGGGAGCAAACTGTACAACTCCCTGCAAAATAGTTAATCGGGAGGAATTTTTAGATCTAAAATTTTGGGATTCATCTAAGTATCACTAAGAATTTGGATTCGTTTTCTTGAATATCAAGATCTTTTCCTCTAAAAATTAGATAGTTCTTGTTAAATCTTGAGATGTTATTTATTTTAAGGTACATAGAGATTACACATTATTTTTTTATTTTTTGAAGTTGGTCACTGGGTTTTAGAGATTACATCTCCAAAATTTGGGATCCAAAAAATATCGCCAACTTGAGTTTTACCAAAGGAGGAAATGGACATTATGCTCTTAAGGGAGCATGAAATCTTTTCACATTTCAAAAAGAGAAACATACATGATGAAAATGTTAAACATTGATAGCGTTGGTAAATTGTATCTTGATAGATTTTCCCAAGTATTCATATCATACGTCTATATAGATTTCCCAATAAAAAAAAAAACTAGAAATCTGGGAGATTCAAGTGATTTTTTTTTTTTTCACCCGATATCCCAATCCCCCCATTCCAAGTTTGATCGGTACTTTTTTAAAAAATCGTATATTATGTGACAATTTATTTTATTCTAAGGTGGTCACAATTATTCTTAGAGTCAAATTTGATGGATTGCGGTGTGTCCCAAAAGTCAAAAAATATTTTTTAAGCTTTAAGACTCTTTTAGTTAATCTTTTCAATAACCTACCTATTTTTTTAAATCGTTAATGGTTTTTTAATGCATTAGGTGAGAATGAAGACTTAAATGGCCTCCAAACTCTACAACCCCAACTTCATTATCAATATTAAAATGGTAACTTATTAAAGATTTGAGCCCGTGTCTTTTGATGAGAATGGAATCAAATACCGCGCCAGAACTGTCACACCTCAAGAATTTACAATACTGATATTCTTGAGATGTGACAGTCAAAACATATATACATCTCTTGATATGACAAATTTACACTGACGAATTCTTACAAAGTAGCAAAAGAAAGCTTAAACACAACTACAACATCTTTCAAAGTTGGCCTTGACGAGTACTCAAAATGAAACCGCAATTATCCTGAAAAATGTTTACCATAGTTTGATGAGTTTGGCTACTCAATAAGTGATCATCATAATCCTAAAAATAATCATGGTTGAAAGATATCAATATTTCCAAAAAGGAGATCTATTAACAGAAATGTATCAACAGTTTCACTTTCAATAAATGCATAATTAAGTATAATCCAAATAATTGAAATACACATAACACTTTAACGGCAATGCATAATTCAAAGGATTTCACAAAATACCCTACTGGCATCCCAAGTAGGTCACCTATATAACCCATCAGCGTCCTGATGGGTCCACTTAATCCCTATCGACGTCCCAGATAGGTCCACTTAATCCCTGCAGGTCCACTTATACCTCACCGGCTTACCTGATGAGTCCACTTAATCCCTACCAGCGTCCCGGATAGGTCCACTTATACCTCACCGGCGAACCGGATGAGTCCACTGACACACTTAAAATATTTCTAAATCTCTTTAAACATCCGAAAGCAACAATATCATGTACTCAACATATCACTGAAATCATTAATATGAATTTCACTGAAACCATTAATAAC